TTTGAATTGATTATGCATGCTAATGGAAATAAATCAAAAGAATCCATAAGCATCTCATAAGTTTCTTAATCATATTTATACAAACCTAAAGCTTACATTAAAATATATACATTCATCTTTAAAATTAAAAAACGCTGTCAGTTATCTGCATTCGTGATTCCCACGTAAAAAGTATACAGTATTTGGATAATTTATTTTTATTGCATAAAGTAAAATGACTACTTCAATTGAATATGATCCTCTATCAACGAAATCTCCGAGAAATAAATATCTAAAAATTATTGACGATATTCTTTTACTTAGTTGTTTCAGGATTTCCTCCAACCTTTGGTTCAAGTAATTTTAACAAATCATAATATTGTCTTCATTTAATAATACAAATACCCATGAATATCACCTACAACAGTAAGTGGATCTTATAAATAAAGTACATTTCCTTCATTTTCTAATAATCATTTTATCAATTTACTCAATAATTTATTGCAATCTGCTACCAATTTAAATAATTCCTCTTTTGCAATTCTTCCCTCTTTTTAAAGATGATCCTTTAATAACTTCCAATCAGGTTTATCTAATTATTTTACATTATGATCATACTCTTTAATTTATCAGGAAACATTAAATTTTTAGCCAATGGACGATGAGGAGGTGGCTTAAGTGTTTTTACAAATCTATCATTTGCAGGATCCTTTAGACAGTCCATATTTGATATTAATATTATATTTATTATTTTATTTTTTATCATTAATCAAATGCTCAACTTCAATAACTCTGATCTCAATCTATTAACTCTTGACAACAATGAACAATCCAAGAATTTATTGCCAGAATACATTTATAAACCTCCCAAAATTGATGGGTCAACTTTATATTATACAGAGAATTAAACATTAGGGTTAGATTCCTTTAAGGCTCCAACTACTTGGGATCTAAATCATATTTCTATATTTTTATACCTTTATTCTTCAGATAATGTTTCTGCTGATATTATTGTAATATTTTCTTCTTTGTTAAAGATTCTATAATATTCAATATATTTCTCAGCTGTTTTAGTTAAATATGAAATTCTTTGACTATCAATCATAGTATTTAATAAATTTATTGTGACCTCATGAAATCCTTCCTACACTTATATCAAAATCTCATTACTTTTGTTAATGTTTATAATACATTTCTTTATTGATTTCTTTTATATGCAGAGTTTAATAAGAAGCCTGCAAATACTGGACTCTTTTCAGCTAATTCTTTGAAGTATTTCATATCCTAAAGCACCAAATGAAGAGCTTCCCTTTAAGATGCAGTTGAAAAAAGCACACCAGCATATTTACCTTATACAGTATCTTCGAAAGAGGGTGGCTTATGTCCTAGACCTTTCAATACTCTATACCTGGTACTGATTTTATTTCAGCTTCAGCCTTGCTACCAGCAACTGCATATCTGAAGCATGCTCTTTGAATTAATTTAAACATATTTAATTATGATTTTATATTAAGGATTCATAAATTTTATTTTTTAAGATGGATGTTTATAAAATTAATCTTAAAAGAATATTTTTTAATTTATCAATATCAATTCTATACTTAAAAACTTTTCATAAAAAGAATGAGATTTTAATATGTAAAAGATTATATATGTGATTGTAATTTAAATGAATTTCATATATAAATATATTATCAAATTTATTAATTCACAATAAATAAAGTATAAAAATCACCATAAAAACAACACAAATCAGAAAACAAGTATTCTATCCGAATGATGATTTTAATAATTCTAGAATATTTATAATTATTTATACTGCCAATCCCATTTATTGATTTCTTAACCATATCGATAGATTTATCATAATCATTATTTAATTTATCTAGAGAAGGTTTTTCATTCTTAAGATAAGTTTGTATGTTTAAGGATACATGTTTCAATTTTTGTACTTTATCTAACAATTCATCTTATTTTAAAATGTTTTCTTCTTCTAAATTCTTTTAGAGAATATTGTTATTTTTTTTCATAAAATTTAATATAATAACACGTATATTTATACTTAGTTTTTTTACAACTAAATCAAATAAATATTTAATTAAATGAAGTTAAATACAGAATAGTTATCTGAAATTAAATAGGAACTCAAGAAATTTTCTTCAACCCCAATTTCAAAATCTTATAAATTAATTGCTTAAATTTATAAGAGCAATATTGAGACTTAATCATTAATTGATAGTGAGATAACAAAAAGCATTGTACGTATAGGATAGAAAAAATACACAGATGATGATGAAGAGAAATATTCCAAAGCTATAAAAATATGTAGGAAATTAGTGAAATAATGGAAATAAATCATTTTAACAAATGATCAAACCATCACTGATAATATAAAAAAAAATGATTCTAAGAAAGATGGGGAAATAAATATATAAAAATAAAAACAAATTAGGGCTGAAGAACCTATAATCTAAAAAAAAGTCAAATAAGAACAAGAAAAAAAAGAAATTAAACCAATTTAGCATAAAAATGGAACATCACATAGTACCAAATAATAAAACAATGATAGTTAAAATGGTAAAGATGAACTTGTTGATGATGATAAAAGAAAGAAGGCAATTGAAGGATTAAAGAAATATTTCTTACAGTAGACAGGTGAAGATTAGGTGGAATGGTCAAAAAAAGTTGAATAAACAATTTATGATCTTAACAAATATTCTGTTCAGAATTATATGGATAAAGTTAAATCAGTTGTAAAATTGATTGATAGAAATGCTGAATTCAGAAATAGATTGCTGAATGGTGAATTTGATCTTGTGTCTGAAATTAAAAATTTAAAATGAAAAACAAGAAAGAGTATAAATTTTATTTTTTATTTTTTATGCATTATCTTAAAGTTATTATTCATTTTTATAATTTCTATGTTACTAATAAAAGATTGAATTCTTTTTATTCTTCTTTAGGAAATTCGAAGAAATAAGTATCATTATAGGTATTGATATATTCTTCTTTAATTCTTTTATAAAACCTATAAAATTGATTCATAAAACTAGCTATCATTTATGAAATTTATTTAAAATAAATTCTAAATATATTACTTGAAATAATTACTATATTTTCAACCATTAATATAAAATGCAAATTATTAAATCATTTTTATAGTTTAGCTTTCCCACTTAAAATATATTATAAATAAGTTTTCTTATTCAAGAATTTATCATGTTGACTTTCATGCTTGGGTAATTTTGATTGAGACTTAATTATTTATATTTTTTATGGATCTTTAAATGAATTTTAACTAACAATTTTTTAAATTTTTGATTTTGCAGCTGGACTTGGAACTAATAATTCCTATTATATTAATAAAATATAATACACATGAAGCTTCTTTCTTTTTTAAACTGTCAGCTCTTGTTATATTGACTGATTTATTACCATATTACAATTTAGAACTATTTTACACAGTTATTTAACCATTACTTGTTCCTAATTTAGCTTTCTACATTTTAATCATATTTTCAATTGATTTAAACTTTTCAAAAGCACTCATTTTCTAATTTTGATTGTCTTCACTTACCTTTTTCTTGACTTCTTACTTTATGATTTATTTATTTTCTGAATGATTATTACAACCTTCAATTGAATCCCCCTTTTTTTTTCTTTTATCTAAAGCACTAGTAGGAGTAGTTGATTATTAAAGTGTATTTGAAGGTTTGCTAGCATTTGCAGGAGATTAATGTGAACTAAACCAATTTTATTGTTAAACTTATTATGTGTTTTTCTAATTGATATGCTAATAAAGTGCTGTCATATATTCTTCTATACTATATTATACATTGTCATCCATAAAAGTTTAAATTGGAAAATCTAGTAGAATTTAATTACATAATTTACCAATTACTGTTTCATCCTCTGAACCTGCAAATTCAGCCATATATGGATGAGCTAATGCCTATTCAACAGTCAATCTTTTTTAAGGATTAAAGACTAACAAATTTTTAAGGAAACTTAAAGTATCATCACTTTCTTAACTAAAAACAGTCTTAAAGTTTTTTGGTTTCACATATTAAAAATCATCTAAGATAGGTTTTGCCAAAGGGGCTGCAATTGACTTGATATCTTCTTCTGTTGGAGTACCCAAAATTTCTAATATCATTTCAACTTAATTCATTGTTGAAGTTCCTGGAAATATTGCCTTCCCTAGAATCATCTCTCCCAATATACAACCAATACTCCACATATCTACTGCTTTAGAGTATTTTTATGAACCTAATAGTATTTCTGGTGCTCTATACCATCTAGTAGCCACATATTCGGTTAATATGGGAACTTGTTAAAATTCTAATTTTATATTTACCATCATCATCACTTGTAGAATTCACGGTTCTAGCTAATCCAAAGTCTGCTAACTTTACTAAACAATCAGCATTAATTAATAGATTTGCTGGTTTTAAATCTCTATGAATAATGTCTCCAGAATGCAAAAATTTTATTGCCTTTAATAATTAATAGACAACATATTTTTTGTGGATTGGTTCTAATATATTTGCTCTTATAACCTAATTTAATTGAATCTATATACTTTATGTAAATCTGTTTCCATGTATTCAAAGACCATGTATAAGTCTCTATTATTTTATGCTTTTATCACTTATAGTAATTTAATGATATTTGCATTTTTTGATACTTGTTCCAAAAAGATTACTTCTCTAAAGGTTCTTTATGAATCAGTTTTATTGTGAAATGCATCAAATACCTAAGCGATATCATTATTTAAACACTTTTTTTAAAGCAACAATTGATTTAGTTTATTTATCATGTGCCTTCCATACTACTCCATATGCACCTTTGCCCTTAAATTCTAGAAGTGTAAATCTCTATAATATATGATCCTCAAATTAAGATTATTTATCATTCTCCATTTCTGTTATTTTTAAATATTATAGACAATAATTGAGTAATAAATGACAATAATATTCAAATGAATCAAAAAAAGAAAAGATACAATAGTATACTTTAAATCAATTTGATATTAAAATATCATTTTATTTCTTCTATTGTTCTTGTTGTTCAAATTCCTTATGATAACAATAGTAAATTTTACTTTTACTAAAGAATTAAGTTCCTCCTTAAGTAACTCTACTTTGGCATGTGTTTCCATTCTTCTATTATCACTATTATCAAGATAGGATCTAGAACATATAGAAATATAGTAAGTACTTTAAAAGTTATCTAAGTCTTTTATTCTCATCCTTCACTTTTTTAAGTTTTTTTGTTTAGTATTTTATTTTATCTGATTCACATTGATTTAGAGGATCATTGACTATTTTTTTAAATTCACAATTTAGAATTTATAAGGATTCTTTACATTTTTAATATGATGCATGAAGCTATCTATTTTCTTCAATTAATATTTCTATATCTCGAAGATTTAATGCTAATTTTTTTGCAATTATTATTACAATTTTTTATTAATTTAACACCAAACTCCTTTCCAAATTTTGATGAAATTTCAAATATTTCATATGATTAAGAGGAGATGCAAAGTATTTATTATAAGAGTTAATTCTTTGTCAAATAGTTAGTAAATTTACAATTTAATTTTCATGTTTGACTATAAAAGCAGGCAACATAATAGAAACAAATATTCCGTCTGTCATTATTATATAAAATTAGAGTTAATGGAAAAATAATTAATATAATAATAAAAAATTAATATATGAATTCTAGTGAATCAGAAGATCAAGATATCAATATTGAAGAAGAAGAATTAAGCAAGCCAATCTTATAAGTATAGTCTGCAAAAGGAATGGAAATTCAAGTACTTATTAATATATTAATAATAAAACAGGAAAATTCAGATCCATTCAATGGAACCTTTGTGTTTTTTGATGAAGATCATACATTAGGAAATTCATTACGTTATATTTTAGCAAATTAACCAAATGTTGAATTTTGTGGTTATAGTTTACCTCATCCTAGTGAAAATAAAATGAATCTGAGATTATAAACAATGAATGAGACAAAAGAAAAAGTTATGAATGATGGATTAAAATGTTTATCATAAATTTGCGATATAATTGAAGATAAATTCAAATAAGCTTTAGAAAAGAAATGATTCTTTTTATATTAGTGTTTTTTTATTTATGAAATAAGAATTTAAATATAGTAAATTATATTTTCATAATTCATTGATTCAAGTCCTAAATCTACATGACTTTTAAGTATTCTCTAATTCAGATTACAATCTTCCTTTAGCTTATAATAATTTCCCTATTAAAAATTTAATTTCATTATTTATATGTACACTCTTTGGAGGGTCTTGATTCTCTTTATTCTACTGCTATTAAAAATATTACATTTTTTGTAGTATTAGAATCATTTTATATGGAATCTTCTTAACCATTATATCTTGCTTTAATTGATTAGATATGATTAGTATGAGAATCATTATTCCTTAGAGTTGTCCATGGTTATTAATATAAACTATGTTTCAAATTATTTAATTAACTTTAAGTAAATGCAGGTACTTTAAAATGTGAGAATGATGTATTATGAGTCTTTTATTAAGTTGAAAGTTAAGTAACTTACTTTAAATTACAATAATCATGTTATCCTAACATTTTACTAAGATTGGCTGCAGATTATAAAGGAATTTTATTGATACCTTATTATGAATAAGATCTTATTTATTCAATTTCATTGTTGTATCTTGAAGTCAATTAATGTGACATTTTATGTTTTATTAATTCATCTCCATTTTCTATTTCTTCTTTAAAAATACAAGCTTCTTATAAATATTAATTTATATTATTATTTTATGGTATTGAATTAGTTGATTGTGATTGTGATTTTGATTTTTTAGTAATTTTATTATTATATTCATCAATAGACATAGGAATAGTATCTTAATTATTAGGTTTTATTTTTTCAAAAGACAAATTATTTTTAAAAATTTATTATTTTTATTTTTCATTTGATTTATTGAAAGAAGTCTATTAGATTTTTGTTTATGACTATTTATTATCAGGTTAAACAATATGTATACTCTTACATTAAATAGGACTATCTTGAGAAATAATAGAATTTCTTAATTTTACTACTTCAACACTTTTCTTCTTTGAATTAGTATCACAATTATTTTAAATGCTATAATAATAATAAATTGTAGTTTTACTTTATTTAGTCTTCTATCTATTTTTTTAACATATTTCTTTCTTATTAAAATTAGATTTGTTATTCTTATATCTATTATTTTAATTCAGCTATTTCATCTTAGTATTTTTATTGCATTTACTAATTTTCTTAATTTGATTCAATATGATCTTAATATTTTTTAATTGTATTTTAACTTTTTATTAACCTTTATTATAATTGATCCTTTTCTTTTTCATATAATTAAGCTAATTATTAATATCTTTAATCATAGTCTGATTATTTCTCTTACATATCTTTAAAAGAAGTATCTTTTATTTTTTATATCTCTTATTCACATTGTAATTTCAGTAATTATTCTTTTGATTTGTAATTTTCTTCAATTTTTTATAATTAATCTTTTAATGTACTAACTTCCTAATTCAAATACTATTTATCCTACTCTAAAGTTTAAATTTTGTGTTCATTCATAATTTATTATTTTTATTATAATATTTCAAGGTCTTTTAATTAATTTTCTTTATCATTTAATTATTCATTTATACATCTAAGCTAGATATTATAAATAAAGATTACTTTCTCTTCTAATTTAGTTACACATTCTTAATATTTTTTATTATTTGTAAATTATATTTCCATTGATTTTTGAAATTCAGAATAACTTTTTTACTTTAAAATTTATAGATGAAATCATACTTAAGTTTTACCTGATATATCTATTGCCTATGTAATAGTATCATTGAGTTTCTTTTAATTTATTTCTCTTGTTTTATAATCTTCTAATTGTAATTCCAATAATTATATCTTTTATTCATACAGAGCCCTATCTTTTTTCCATTCATGTTCCTTAATAAGAAACTAATCATATTACTAATGAATTTACATTTTTCTTTAACTAAATACAATCTTCTTATTCATTAATTTCCATTCAAATTTAACGATTAATTATGAAAAATATAATAGAAAATATTTTTATTTAATTAATTCGTAACTTATAAGAACATCTAAATTTATTTTATTAATCTATTCTATAATTAATATATAAGATTAAATGATAACTAATAGTAAAAAAGGAATTTAATTTAATTTTCAATATAAACAATACACTAAATGTATCTACACAAAAAGTATTAATAATAATATATTTTTATTGAAATATATTTATATATTATTTGAATAGATCAAATAAAAATACAAAATTAGTTATGAGATTTAAATTAAATTTGTTCATATATATTAAAATTTAATAATATTAATATGGGAAATTGTAAAAGTTAATGTTATTAAAAGAGTCTTAGTTAAACAAATAATGTTGATTGCACAAAGTTAATAATTATAATAAAAACTTGGCATAAGGATGCCTTTTCATTGTTCGATTATGAAAATGCTATTAATGTACAGGAATAAAGGTTTATAGTAATAATTAATAAATTATACTTTTAGATAAATAACAATGGATATTTAGTTGGTCGAAATTAAATAGAATGGATAGAGAACAAATCAACTATTAAAGAATAGCTTTGTAAAATAAAGAAAAAAAATGATAATTATTTTATAGTTAATCCAAATTTAAAAAAAGATTATAAAAAGTAAACAATCTAAGAAAATGAAGAATCACATAATATAATAAACAGGTAATATTAATATATATTATAAGAACTATTTCAGAAAAAATATGGAATAAGATTTGGAAAGTGATACATGAAAATGGAATACTTTTATAAGAAGGAGATGTTATTAAATTAGGGAGAGTGAAATTTACTATACGTTAAATAGCATTAGAGATTAAAGCATAAGAGTAGAGATTTGAATATGAATCATCATAATCAATTGAATCAGATTAAATAATGTGTAGAATTTGTTGTTCCTCACAAAAGAGTTCAAATAATCCACTTTTGAACCCCTGCAAATGTAGTGGATCAATTAAGTATATACATTTGGAATGTTTAAAAACTTGGTTAAGAATGAAATTAGAAAATCGATAAAGTGAGAATTGCATAGTTTATTTATGGAAAAACTTGGAATGTGAATTATGCAAATATAATTATCCTTCAAAATTTAAGAGTGATGATTCTTATTATGATTTAGTAGAATTAAGTAAACCAAATGATTACCCTTATTTAATGATGGAATTTACAAATAAAAAAGTAATTACATTTTAATATAACTTATAGGGATAGTAATTAGATTATAATAATAACTCTGGAGTTTATATTTTAAAATTTTAGAATGTATCAGAATTAAGAATTGGAAGATCAAATGATACTGATATAAGATTAAATGATATATCTGTAAGTCGAAATCATGCTAAATTGTTGGTTCATGATAAAAAAGTGTATCTTTTTGACAATCACTCTAAATTTGGAACCCTACATTTAATAAGAACAGATAGATTATAAATTTAGAGAGGAATGGAAGTTTAGATGGGAAGAAGTCTCATATCATTTTAATGATCTTTATAATTGATTTTTGAATCTTTTTAAAACTTAAAAAAATTCTTAAAAATTAATTAATCTGATTTTTAAGTGATAATCTTAAATTAAGATTCTAAATTTTTATTGGATTTAAGAAATTAAATCATGTATTAATATATTTTTTATTAAAATAATAACACTTTTATAATAATTTTATTGATAACTATCCACTTAAAACCGAATGTTATCTCTAATTCTTATTATAATTTTTCTACTTATTAAACACAAAAGATATAAACATTAGCATAGCAATTCTAAACAATATAATTAGACTTGTTTTTAATTTTACATTTAGTAAGTACAACACCAAAGCAGTATAAAATTATTCTTTTAAATACTACTTATTAAAAACATTAAGAGATCATAAAAATCAGAAATTTATCTACAAAAGCTATAAGTTTTTATATAATTTTATTTGAGAAGCATTTTAATCTATATTTTTAACCTATTATTTATTCCCACTATTTGATCTTCTATTTTAATTATATAGTATTACAATTCCTGAAATTAAGAAAATCATATTTATATATTTAAAATTAATAATGCAAAATTTTGGATCTAATGTATTACTTATCTTAACTAGAATGAATTGGATGAGAAAGGACATGTCTTGAATGAGTAACCTAAAATCAAGGTAAAATTTGAACCCAAACCTAAACCTTCTAAATGTCCCATTTGCACAATTGAATATTATTAGCAATTCTTCAATATTGAATAAAGAGATGTATACATGAGAATACGTTGTTCAATTTTATCTTGGAAACCTGAATTTCATTAATGTGTTGGAAAAAATCCTGATTTATGGGGACCTTTATGGATTTCAACCACAATTATCTTCATCTTATTTGCAGGAGGAAATCTATCTCGCTTTTTATTGGAAGAGGATAAAAAACATTTTAAATACGAATATAATTATATGTATGTAGCTGTATTAATAGTGTATGCTATGGCATTTATAATACCTATAATATTAGGAGTTATTATGAAATATATTCTAAAAAGTGAATTAGGAGTTTTTGATATAGTTTGTATGTATGGATATTCATTGAGTGCTTATATATTTGTGCTAATTTTATGCATAATTCCTTATAATGAAGCCTAATGGTTCTTTTTAATGTGTGGACTTGCAAACAGTACTATATTTTTATTAGTTAATTTATGGGAGTATTTTAATATAATATTATTCATAGTTTTATGAAAAAAAACAAATAAACTGTATTAATAGCTATTCCAATTATATCATTTAATGTAGCTTTAATTTTATGCTTCAAATTTTACTTTTTTAGATTAATTTACGCAGTAGATGATTGAATTATATTTATTATTTTATTACATATTTATTAAAGAATAAAAATGAGAAGATAGATGAAAAAACTTAAGGAACAAAATGAACCTAAAGAAGTTGTGGATGAATAATTAGTAAAACAAGTTCATCAAGTAGAACAATAGAAAAAATAAAAGTAAGTATTTTAGATGATGGAAATGTCAGATTCAGAAGATGAATAATAACCAGAATTAAAAAATGATGAAAGTCAAACTCAATAATTAAATCAAATAATCTAGCCATAAAATGATTAAACTAATAATAATTAACAAAAAAAGAAAAATAAAAATAAAAAGAAGAAAGATAAAAAATAATCATAATAAAATCAAGATGATGATTTAGAATTTTTAGATAAAGTTTAAGCAGAATAAATACAACAATAATAATAATAAATAATATAATTTTAAGAATCTTAAGAAAATGGTCCTCTTGCTATTAACATCAAGAGATTAAACTATAATAAAGAATTATAATAATACTTTAAAAATGCTAAAATTGCAGGTGGTTAATAAAAAAAAGGACATAAAAATATCAAATAATCTTACCTTACTTATAATCCAGAAATTTAAATTCCTTAAGCTAATAAATTTAATGTAAAATTTGGAAATTAAAATGAGTAAGGTTTGTAATTATTCACTTTTGTGGCTTCTTAATAATATGAAAGACTTTAATAAGATTATGCAATTGTTAAAGGTTATTATGATCCATAAGCTATTTTCAATTTCTTATAAATGAATCCATCACATTGTGAAGCATAATTTGATGTTAGTGAATATTTTAGATTAAAAGGAGATTATAAAGAAGCAAATGAGCTTTTAGAAAGATTACTTTATATTTATGAAAGCAGTTTAGGTTTTGGCTTCAATAAATTCTTTGAAGATGCTTCAATTAATCTAGAGATAGAAGAAAATGCTCATAGCAAAGTATTTTTAATGTCCTTATTTAAATTTACAGATGTTTTAACAAGAAAAGGATGTTATAAAGCAGCTTTAGAGTAATAATTATATTTATATTATATTAAGGTTTTCAAAAATATTATTGAAATTTTGTCCAACAAAAGATCCTTATGGTTCAATATTTCTAATTGATTGTAATGCACTTAAATCAGAACAATATGATTATTTGATAAACTTTACTAATAATTTTGCGAGAAGTGTCTATAAAACTAATAAATTTTCTATTGTTTTTATGCCAAATCTTATTTATAATTGTGCATTAGCAAAATTTTTAGAATAAGGAGAAAATCATAATTACTCTTTTAATGATTAAAACATAACTGATGCTATTAATAATTTTGGTCCTAATCCTTTACAAGCTTCACATCAAGTATTAATCATTTAAGCAATTCTTTTATATCCAATTGTCCTTAAATAATTAGCAGAAGCTAATGAATTCTCTAAACAAAATGTTGGAAATTTAGAGAGCTTTGTTAATAATTAAAGAAAACCATTTAAAGAATTATTGACTGAAGAATTTTTATAAAGAGATACTTATTTACATTGGTTCTTACAATTAGATAATGAGGATGATAATGAAGGATTCTTAAAATCCATTAGTATTTTCATTGAAAAAAGTAAATCTCAATGGAAATAAAATGAAATCCTTAAATGGATCAAAGGGTATTCTATTTATAGTTAATTAATTAGTGCTTTGGGATTGATTGTTAATCATATTAAAGACCAAAAGTTAGACCTTATTTCTTTTTATGAAGACCTCAGCGTTGTTAAAGAAGGAACACCCATCTATAATGAAATTCCTTTCCAATATCGAAGATATAAAGAATTATCAAAAAGTCATTTCTTAGAGAATCCAGAAAGGTATTTATTAAATTCATTTAGACTCGATTTCAATAACATCTTTGCTGAAAATATAGGTGCATAATAACAATAGCCTCAATAATAACTTCCAAACAATTTTAATCCTTTTAATTTAAATCAGGAGTTATTGTAAGCAGTTTTTGAAACTCTTTTGCAACAAGGTAATGATCCTAATGATGAAATGTGATTAATATTATAGATATTTACATTAATTAACACTTTAATAGATATTTAATTTAATTAACATCTTATCAGATCATGTATGATTTAATCAAGCAAATCTGGTTTAAATAGCAATATATGAAAAAAAATTTTAGGGTTGCAAAATGAATAATTTTAAATTATTTATTAAAGGATAGATTAATAAGGTAAGAATACGATATTTAAATTTAATTGGTAGATTAAGAAGTAAAGTCATATAATAATTTTTGCAATTTTAAATCTATAATTGAAATACCTTAAAAAGTAAGTTCACATAATTAATTTATGATCATTTCATATAAACAACAATTAACCAGCTTAATTATATTAATCTAAAGTATTTCAGTATCAGATTTTGTTAAAATATACAAAAAATCTTCAATTAGCTGAAATTTAATAATTTTTGCATTATATATTTAAATTATACTCTAGAATAATATAGATCATTATTTAAAGAATAAATTGAAATCAATGAAAATACTTTATGATTTGCACATAACAAAACAATCATAATTGATAAAATATCGAGGTCTATTATTTATCAATTTGATTAAAAATCCTACAAAAAGTAAAGGGTGATGAAATTGTATAAATATATTGAAAAATTAATAAACTAGAATTCAATTTATTAGATTGTCAAACAGGAAAGTCTTGAAAAATTAGATAATTGAATTTTTTAAGATTTTTAATAATTTTCATAATAATGCTAAATCAATAACATAGATTTAAGGTCTATGACCAGTTGAATTTTCTATTTGGATTATAGAATTTAATAAATTCTCTTTAGAATCATTTTTACTCTATAATAGATTTTCATGATGCTGAATAGATTTAAGTAATTCAGATTCTTATGTTATTTATGCTTACCAATTTTTTTCCAATTCTTTTATTGTAACTTAATTTTAACTAAACAAGTCCTGTATTTTGATGACTCTATTTTAAGCAAATGCTCTTTAAAAGTAAGTTAACCCCAACTAATTGATTTCATTATCTTCTTTAGTGTCTTATAAAATATCTGGAACTGATACTGATTTTTAGTTTAATTTTAAATTAATTTACTTCATTAAATTGCTAGTTTGTTTCTCTTATGGTTATCTATTAGTTGAAATACTATTTTTATTGATTGTACTATTTTCATTCTCTTTGTTTTCATGATGTTAAGTTCTTACTTTTGCTTTTGTTGATGGAGTCTTTTATCTAAATATCCTTGACTTTTCTGGAGTCTTATAGATTGGTTGATTTAAATGTGTTTATGATGTATTTTATCTTGTAGATGTTAATGGATGAGATTGTTTTCTTCTAGATATAGTATTGTTGTCAGAAGTAGTTAAAATATTATTTTTCATTGAGGACTAAAATTTAATTAATAAAACATATTCATTAATATAAATTGGAATTCCTAATTATGGATCTGTTATAAAAAAATAAAATATAGTTTATCAATCTAATAGAAAAAGTATTGAATTTTTTTTATTTTATATGAAATATTAGTTTATTTATAAATTAATCTCTTAATGGGCAATTTATTCGAGAAACTAAAATCATTTTTTTCTACTTCTAAACTCGAAGTATGTATGGTTGGATTGGAAAATGTAGGAAAAACTACAATGTTGAATTAACTTTCAATGGGTGATCCTTCATTCACTGTGCCTACAGTGGGTTTGAATGTCAGGACTGTGAAAAAGGGAGGAGTAACGATGAAAGTATGAATAAAAAACGATTAAAAGATATGGGATATTGGAGGATAAGTTTAATATCGACCAGAATGGGGTAATTATGCTCAAGGTTGTGATGCAATAATATTTCTTGTTGATACTTCAAATGTAAACATTATAAATTAAAGATAAAGTAAGCTACACTTGGAACTTCAAAGAAAGAATTACATAATTTATTAGATAATAAATCTTTGCGTAATATTCCACTTTTAGTGATTGGAAATAAAATAGATGTGAATCCACATTTGAATGAAAAGTAATTGATAGAAGGTATCGTTATTAATTAGATTAAAAGGTTTAAACTTAGATTACATAACCTCTAATGCATGGGCAGTGGCTATGTGTAGTGCATTAACTGGTAACAATATAACGTAAGTTGTCGATTGGTTAATAACCAAGTCTAAGAAATAATGAGTTATTTTAAATATATATATCTATGTTAATATTTATATATATTCATATATCAGAATGTCCACAATAATTTCCATAATCCCTTTAAGTATATTTAAAATTCTGATGCTCCCAATTTCGATTCTCCAAAGATTCTTTCAACAAAAACAATAGGTACCTTAAATTATATAATATATATATATACTTCCTCTACTGTATATCCATATTATCTTGCTCTAATAATAATTTCCATTTGAAAAGCATATCCTCTTGAGACAACATCTTTAATTACTTTTTCTAAAACTTCTCTTTTGTATAATCTAAAGCTTCCTGTTAAATCAGAACACTTCACTCCTAACATTGTTGAAGCTAGAAAATTAGCACCTCTGGATGTAAGTTTTCTATCAAAACCCCAATTCATAACACCTCCTTTATTTATATATCTAGATCCTGTCACAATATCACAATTAGTTTATTTTTATTTTTGGATAAAGTCAACTAAATATTTTGGATGATGTGATAAATCTGCATCCATAATGACAACAAAATTGCCATGACAAAGTTTTATTCCATCCATATAAGCAGATCCTAAACCAAGTTTTTTCTCTCTAAAATGAATGATCAACTTATCACCATATACTTTCTTTAATTCTTATGCTACCTATAAAGTACCATCAGGAGAATTATCTTCTATTATGATAATCTCGAAATCTAAATTACTTTTTAATATATATTGAAGAATACTTCTTTTTAGCCATTTCAAAGATCAAATAAGTGATAATTGGTAAATTCTCCCTTTCATTATAAGTAGGTAGAATTACAGAATATTTGGACATTATTAATTTAATAAAAATAGTTTTCTTATTTTGAATTCTATCTAGAAAACACTTAATGTTTGATCTTATTTATAAAAGATGTTAGATTTTACTTAATATTAGTATTACTTTATTCATAACAATGACAATAACATTATAAATTAATTTAATTATTTAATCAATGTCTCAAAATCAAAGAACAATGACTCTTACATAGATTACTCATATGATTGAGGAAAAGGTGACAGAAATTCAAGCTAATCCAGATTAGAAGATTTCAGAGTTACCTTAATTAATTGAATTACTTAAACATGATAATGTATTCATTGTTCAAATGACAATTATGGCATTAACAGATTTGTTTATTGATATTGCTCCATTATATAAAATTGATTAATAAGCTCATGAATTTAAAATCACAAAGTTTATCAATAAAGAAGAAAAATAAGTGCTTAACTTTGAATTAAGTTTAATAAAAAACTATTATCAATTTATTAAAGCTTAATTTACATTTGTTAAATTAATATCTTAAGGTCCTCTTGTCGAAACTTGTTATTAAAGGTAATAATAATATATTTATTTTATAGTTTATGTAAATTATTGAATTCATTATTTCATTTTAATTACAATAGAGAATTAGTTTAATATGTAACATATGGTTTATTGACTTGTAATGATATATGTTATAATTCTCTATCTAACATATTAAGTAATAAGAAACATTCATTACATGAAGCTAAATTATAAATTTTAACATAAATATAAAAGTTATATTAGACTAAACATGAAGATCAATTACCAGATAATCTTGTTGATTTAGTTAATTAAATATAGATAGATACTAAATTTTTACCTTAAGAGTTAGAGAAGTAAGAGAAAGAGAAGAAGAGAGCAGTAAAACAAAAGAAGAGAGAATATTTCAGTTAGAAAGAGAAGGACAAAAAGAAATAGAAATTAACAAAGGAAGAAATGGCTAAATAAAAGAAATTATTAAAGGAAGTTTAAGATGAATTATAAGAAGCATAAGGAGATTTAGATAAAAAGACTTTAGCTAAAAATGTAATTTATTTTTTATAATTATTAAGAATGGAGAGATTCTTTCAAAAATGTTTTATATCTATTTTAAAGTACTCAAATTACCTAGAGTATCAAAATATTATGAATCTGCTTTAAATGGTATATTATAATATGTTCATTTGATTAACATTGAATTGATATAAGGAATATTTGAATGTTTATTATAATCAACTAACATACTTAGATAGAGAAAGGATAATTAGTTGAAATATGTTAATTTAAGATTATAAACTATACTTGCACTTTAATCTATAATGGATGGACCTGCATCTGTTTTTGGTATAGATGACAAAGAAACAATGTAAAGATTTTATGTTTGTTTATTGGACATATGGACAAATTAAAAAATTAAAATTACTGAAGAAGAAGAGAGTTTGATTTTAAGAATATTGGATAGTGGATTTATTAAGAAAAGACATTTTTCTTAGGAGGTTACAGGTTCATATGTAAAAATACTTATTTAACTCGCTAAAAATTCTGATAATATAAAATTTGTATATGCACTTTGTTACTGCATCAAATTAATGACATAAAAGTATTAAAAAACATAGAAAATGTTGGAAGAAGACAATGAAGGTTTTGGTATTAATTCTTATAATGTGAAATGTGATGATCCATCATGTACAAATGCTTTAAATTCTTCAATATTTGAAGAAGTGAAGGAAATAAAAAATGTATTATAGTTTATAAATATGATTAGAAATTCAACAACCAGCAAAAATTGATATCAATAGTATCAAAACTACTAAAAAATGAACCAGTCCCTCAACATATGCTGAACAAAAGTGTTTATGATGTATATAGATAATGATATTGATTAATCACATATTAGTAAAATAGTCTCCAACTTCATCTTCTTCGAAATTATCATCTCCGAAGCCATCTAATCTGATAGAAAAGATTGATTTTCTAGTTTGAGTGATATTTTCTTAATTGACCATTAATGGGGAACTTTGAGGTGTATGGGAAGGAGTTCTACGAGATTTAATTAAATTGGATGAGATTTCCAATTACTAAATACTAGAAACATCAAATTGTGTTGTATTTGACTTAATGAATTACTGTTTTCGTTTAGAGTGGAAAACTTCTTATTTGATTGTAGGATCAGTTTTCATTTTGATTCCAAGTTATCTAAGATAGTTGACAATCTCTATTTCTTTTAAGAGAAATGAATTGTTAGGATTTTGTTTACACAATATATCTAATTCGAAAGAATCGTCCATGAAGTAATTAAAATGCTGTAAAAAAGAATTTAATAATGCTTTGGTTAAATTGTAAAGTAGTAGATTTAAAAGACAGAATCTCTTAAACAAATGTTGGATCCAAAGTTAGAGAAACCGATAATTGTGACAGAGTAAGACTAAGATCATAAATATGTCTAAGATTATACAAAATCACCAACCAAAATGGAATTTATAGAAGAAGACCCTTTATCGAATACAATAACAGCAAAAATAGTTAATGATGGAAAAGAGATTACTTATACAACAAATACAAAAACTACAATTGAAATGAAACATAATCCTCTTGCACTTAAAGCAATGACTGAAAGTTAAGTTGCTATAGATGAAATTAATGTTGTTAGTATGAAATCTAATGTAATTGGATAACAATTCAGATAAGCAGATTTAGGTAGTGTTTTTGTAATGCCAGAAAACACTATACATATTAGTGAAGTTGATGTTAATAATATACCAGCAGATAAAGATATATAATTAGATAGAGAAGAGAAAATACTCTATGCTATTGGAACAAAGAGCAATGAAACAAGTTATTCAGATAAACTATCTCTTAATAATACAATCATAGAAGATGTCACTTTTTAAGAATACAAAGATAAGTACCTATATAAAATTGAATAACCTTTTGCTTATTTAAGTAGAGCCAAAGCTCTTAAAAGATTTATTAGGTGGTTACCTATATATTTTGTTATGTTCTGTTTTTTAGAAACATGGTGGGAAGTACATCATCTCAAAAAGTATATATACAGCCTTGAAGTTTAAGAATTAGATCAATCAAAAGAAATCATAAATGCAAAGTAAATTGAATTGCTGCTCAATGATCCTTTATTTAAGAGATTATGAATATTTGTTATATATTAGAAATATATTAATAATAAATTTAGGATATATTTTAAGATTTTTATCATATAAATAATTAATTATTAAATCTATAAGATCATGAAATTATATACTCTAATTATTTTATTAAAATATATAATGAAACATCAAAATAATAATTATTATAAATTAATAATTCATTTTATGATAAATGTATTATATTATATAACTATCCAATTTATTAATCTTTAAAACTTCAATTAATAAGTATTACAATTAATTTATTTAAAATTAAAACTGATAAGTATATTCAATAATAATTAACAAATTTTCATTTATTAAATTAATCTATCATTTAAGCAGTAGAAACAACTTTAAATAAATCTCCATATCTATCTTCTAAATCTACCTTCAAAATGTATTCAATTTTCTAATTATTGATTAATATATATTATTACATTTCTACATAAATAACAAACCATTTTCTATTTCCAAATATCAATAGCACATTAATAACATGTTCCTCCATGACCACAATTCATAAATACTGCATTTGGTCCTCTTTCATAACACACTAAACAAATATTACTGGTTTGACTCATACTCAATTCTTGGTTTTTATTTTAAACACTTTCATCATGAGCAATCTAATATATTAATATAATAATTTACTGTTACTAAATGAGAATTACATCTCTTTTTATCAATTTAACACCTTAATTCATTAGATGTAGTTTTATTTAAAGTATTAGATGATTATTTATCAATAACTATTTAATCTAATTCTTAAAACATTTATGAAGCAACTCCTTAACTAGAAAATGCTCTTTTATGTCCTTTTGAAGATTTTTTAAGAACAGGAGAAGCACTTATTGAATCTTAATCACCTTCCTTCTTGATTCTTGTGGGAATTCCAAAATATGTTTTAGATATTTTTTATACAACTTAAGGAATCTAAGTTCTTGAAGAAGTTGGATTGATTTATTACATGGTTTGATTATTTCCTTACATATTAACAGAAAATTATTATTAGTTAATTGGTTCATCATCTTAAAGTGTTATGAATATTTATTCACAAATATCTATACGAAAATATATGGAATAAATAATAATGATGAAGAATTCAACAATAATAAAATATTGTTATATTATGAAATTATGAGTATAATTAGGTTGATTTTCCAAATACTCTAAATATCCTAATGAACTTAATGCTAGAGAGACACTTCCAAATATTAGAAATTAAGTTATCCAAATGTTAGAAATCACTAAAAATTATTATAAGAATAAATACATTCTGATTTTTATAGATTTTATCTGTCAAACATATATTAAATTATCTTACTAAATGAAACTATAAGTGAACCTGCACTAATACCAATAAAACAAATTAATCCTACCCAAACACTCCATAAAGTAGGAGTCCAATTCCAAATTATTATGTTATCAATTTTCAAAGTTATAAATAAGGAACAAATTAATATGTAAATCCTTATCAATAATGAAATTTTATTCAACATTTTAAGTGATTCTAATAATGCTCTATCTGAGTAGAGTGAATGAAAATTCATTAAAATTGCAATTACCAAAAATACATTACTGTAAACAAAATATTTGTATCCCATCTTAATTAACATCAATAACTATGTTAAATAAATGAAATCTAATATTGTAGTTCCGAGATATACTAATAGCTTTTTCTTCTTGCTGTATAATTAATAATGTTTACAATCGTATTTACAATTTTTTCATTTAAAAATTGTAGTAAAACAAATTCAAAAAGTCAATCAAGTAGTAGAGGATGAAAAGGACAAATATATAAATAATATCCAAATAATATTATATTTGGAGACTGAGCAATAAAAAGAGTAATATGGCAAAGAAGAATTTAATAATTGTTGTTATGAACAACTTTCGAGATCTGATACGATTTCTAAGACTATTTATAATAAGGAATTTACTTTGTTTCTTATTATGAATTGGTTAAATTCTGTTATGTTTGATTGATATGAGTAGACATGTTGTTATTAATATATATTTATTGTTAATAATAAATCAATGATGTTCATCAATACGATAAAATCCGTATGTCCAATCTACTTATTAAGATGTACATTACCATAAACTGCTAAACAAGCTAAACCAAATAATATAGGTTTAATGGGTCTAGTGGATTTCAAGACTAATTCAATTCATTATATTTTATACAATTTGATTTGTCCAAAGTGTTGAATCTCCATCTATTGACTCTTGTAAGAAACAATTTCTATTCTTGTTCCTATTGAATGCTTTTATCGATGTAATATCTGAACAATTTCCTTTAACTCATCTATTTTATATATTAATATTAATATAAATATGGGAGCAAAATGTTGTGCTCAATAAACAATACTAAATCCTCAAGTTATTAGCAATAATAATGGATTTATTGAATAGTTACAATATACCCCTTAAGAGAATTAAAAAATAATTCCTTAAGAGGTTTAGGCTGATATAACAGATGAAAAGAAATAGGAGTTGGAACAAAGAAAAAGTGAGGATGATCCAATTATTTTCAAATCTCATTAACAACATTCATAAAAATAAGATTTGTAAAAAGTAACTGAAATTCCTTTGTAGTTTTAACATCCTGATTTAAAGTTTTATGAATTACCGATCGAAATAACGAATAATAACATCAAGAAAACACTTGAAAGAATAGGAAAATATGTCCCAAACTAATAGAATTATATTAATGGTTAAGCTTAACCACCTTATTAAATAAAGGGAGAAGTAATATATATAGGGACTTGGAATGGTATTAAGAGAGAAGGTTATGGTAAACAATTTTGGTAGGATGGAACCATATATGAAGGATAATGGTAGAATGATATGATTTCTGGACATGGTAGAATAATATATTCAGATGGGGATGCTTATGAAGGGTATTGGATGAATGGAAATGCTAAAGGATTTGGAATATATTTTCATTATGATGGAGCTAGATATGAAGGATAATGGGTTGATGATCTTCAAGAAGGAGAAGGTAAAGAATATTGGCCAGATAATTCATTTTTTGAAGGATAATACAAATAAGGAAAAAAGAATGGGATTGGTATCTTTATTTGGAGTGATGGTGCAAAATATCATGGATAATTTGTTGATAATTAAATTCATGGATAAGGAGAATATACTTGGGCTGATAAAAGAAAATATTAAGGAGAGTGGAAAGATAATAAAATGGATGGAAAGGGAACATTTATTTGGCCAGATGGTAAGAAATATTTAGGTACTTAGATTATTTAACAATTTTTTAGGAGATTATAAAGAAGATAAAAAGTGTGGTTATGGAGAATTTTATTGGCAAGATGGAAAAATATATAAAGGTTTTTGGAAAGATGGAAAATAACATGGTAAAGGTGAAGTTATTGATCCAAGTGGTAATAAATAAACAGGAGAGTGGTAAGATGGCAAAAAAATTTGAATTTATTATGTTTTAATCATTTTCTATTATCTTTAATATTGTATTATGTTGTATTTTTATTTATTCTATTTATGATGATAAATTTATTAATAAATAATTATTTTTAATTCCTAATAGAATTAATGGTTTATCTTTTATATAAAATGATGGACTTATGGATAAAGTTAATAATCAAATTAAGAGACAGGAACTATTTGAAAAACTAATAATATAATTATAGCAGAAAAGAAGACTTAATTTCAAAAAAAGAAATCATATTTAAAATTTTGAGTTTCTTAGAAATCATCAAGAATAATAAATATTTTTAGAACATATAATTATAAATATTATTATTATTAAATTAATGCATTATGATAAAATGCTATAAGCAATTCAAAATATCTTTTCAAAATTTGATAAATGCTAATAGAAATAGATGCTTATATCCTTCATCTTTTTAATATTAATAGGAATATGGATTCTGTTTCTCTGTTATTATTCAAAATAAAATAGAATTAATAGAAAAAAATTAATCTTGATTGGACCATCTGGGGTAGGAAAAACAAAACTATTTAATATTGCAACTGATAAGAAAGTTTATAGAAAATAGATTAATGAAGATTAATTTTATGAATTTCCTATTGGAAATAATCTTGATTTAGTTGATACACCTTCTATTGAATTTGATGATTCAATAACAAAAAGAGAAGCTATTATAAAATAATTTAATTCATATTTCAAATTAAATTTCTATTAGATCGAAAAATTTTATTTAATTGTTAATTTTGAAAGAACAGACATTATGAAAAAAAATTGTTTAAAAGTTTATAAATACTTTAAGAAATTTTCAAGTATTATTGACATAGTTATAACTAACTTTTAATTAAGTGAGGATGAAATTAAAGACAAAGAAAATTTGGTTAAGGCATTTAGGATGTTTGTAAATGATTAAAAGAAAGTTCATTTCATTAGAGATGATATTCAAAGTGAGGAACTTAAATAAATTTTTATTTAAAGTTCAAATCTAATTGATTTATAAGATATTAATTTTGAAATGACTAAAAATAGAGAAATAAACAAAAATGAATAAAATCAAACATAGTAGATAGTTAATGGAAAATAATATCAATCTATTCATGAATGTTAAATGAATCAGGAAGAAAATTTAATACAAATATTATGATATTATATAATTGATATAATTCCTTATAAAAATGTTAAATTAATGTTTATTCAATGATCAATTTTTAGTACAAAACCTAAAATGTCTCTAATACCTAATTATGATTAATCAATAGGTTTGTGAGATGTAGCATAATTCCAAAGAGATTTATCATCAATAATATAACCTTCTCCTGGTTCCAAACTCATTTCAAATAATAATTTTGATTTGTCAGAACTGTAAATTTAACTTTCTGCTCCTTGACAATTGACTTTATTTACTACACCAATAATTTCCAAATCATTTCCATCTCTATTAGGACCTTCTGGAGTAGGTGAAGCAGGTTAATCAATGTAAGATATCTAATAATTTAGAGTATGATACAGTTCGCACAGCATGAACAGAGATTTATGCTTTTTGAAACTGTTTTAATTGCCAAGTGATTTGAAGAGTATTATACAGAAAATCTTTATAAATTTGATCTTATTTCATCTCCTTAGTTAGTTCTTCATAAATATTTGCATGTTGTAAGCACTTAGATTCATCATAATTATCAAGACGGTATTCTTCATGGAATCTAGTCATGTTACCATCTTTATCAAATTCTATATGATAATTCATCATTCTTCTCTTTCTCATTATTTTATCAGATGGCAATTTTAATCGTTTTTATAAGTACTCATCAGGGACTAGGTTCTCAAAGTGATGTTTTAGAAATTGAAAATCTGATTTAACATCTCTGTTAGTGAATGAAGCAAAGGGAAATTTGGTGGATTTGAGTGCTTAAACAACTTTCATTTTGAAATAATAAAATTAAATATGCAATTGTTTTTATATTCTAAATAAGATATTTTATACACAAGAGCTAAAATAGTTTAAATTATTAACTTCAATTTGAATGAGATTTTTGAAAATCTATGAATTTGATAAGAAAAGTAATGTCTAATTCAATTTTCTAATTTTATTAGAATTTATATAAAAGATTCACTAATTAAAATATTGGAGAATGATGATAAAAGTAGAATACTTTTATATAACAATTATCTAAATATATCAGGTTTTACTCTCTTGAATAAAACCCTTTATTAGAGTTTAATATATTAGATAATAAAAATGAATTAAAATACAGATTTTAAATTAACTTAAGACATATCTTCAAATAATTTAGTCATGAAAATTATTATTAGAGTAATTATACTAATTTAAGGAACATTAGATATTGTAATTCTTTTGATTTTGAAGTATATAAATATTGATAAGTAGTTGAAATTATTATTTACTTGTATTACATTATATTTAAATTTTAATGGAATCAAATAACTTTGAATCTAAATCTCTTAAGTATAGAGGGAAGGATGAGAAGATGACCATTAAAATGAATCAGAATCAAATCATTGTAGTACTTGAGCCATCAGATTTATAACAAGCAATGAAATTATAGATCGAATAGATTAAGGACAAGGCAGCTAATAAAAATTATAATTGGGAAATCTTTGATATCAAGCAGGTAAGATGGGTAACATAACTAAGGAAATCGGAGCAGGTACCTTTGGATAAGTATTTGCATCATTGGATTAAAAGACAGGAAAGAAATATGCTCTAAAATTTATTGGATATGACGATGAAAGTGATTAAGATCCAGAATTTAAGGCAGCTGTTAGAGAAATTGTTATTATGCAGACATTATCACAAACTTATTGTTAAGGGTTGCTGAAAATATATGATATCTATCCCTGCATAAAGGATGATAATAAATATCTAGTGATTGTTATGGAATTGTGTGATTGTAATTTAATGGAACTCTTGAAGGTATATTTCATTTTATAATTCAAGGTAAGAATAGAAGAGAATAAAACAAAATGGACTGATGAAGAGTTGTTGTACATTTTAAATTAATTGATTGAAGGCTTTGTAATTATGAAGAAACACAATGTTACTCATCGTGATATTAAACCATAGAATATCCTCTATTGTTAAGCAGATAAATCTTATAAAATTGCTGATTTAGGTGGTGCCAAATTCTTAAAACCAAAATAAGCTTAATTAAATACAGTTCGTGGATCTCCTGCCTATTGGGCTCGTATTCAATAATATATTATTTCATTTAGCTGAGATTTACTTTTTTTGTGATTTGTAAAAAGACAAAGAAGGTCGTTTTTTTGTTGGAAAATAACATTTGAATTATGATCCATATGCATCTGATGTTTATTCAATTGGAATCACTTTTTTGTTAATGCGCAAATTAATTCCAAGATTGGATAGAGAATCACTTAAAATTGAAGTTGAAATGTTAAAAAAATTAAAATAACCATCTATTTTTGAATAGATTCTAATTAAAATGTTAGAATATGATGATACAAAGCGTATTTCTTTTGAAGATTTATAATAACTCATTTCATCTTACAAAGATTTATTTAAAAAACCTAATGAAGATGTATTTGTAAACTGTTTGAAAACATAATAAGATAAAAAAGTAAATAAAAACTATTAATATACATTAGAATTTGAGTGCTTAAGATTTGATGATGAGAGAAGTCAAATTAGCTGAGGCATATGAAAAGTTGAATTTACCTGAACATGCTAAATCTCATTATGAATTAGCATTGAAATATGCTATTAAATTATCTAAAGATAATGCTAAGGCTGATATTATGAATAGTTTGGGAACTGTTAATTGTGATTTAGAGCAGTATGATGAGGCTGAGAAAAATTTTAGTGAATCAGTTGCTCTATACAAAAAACTGAATGGAGATAAACATTCTTCTGTAGCAGATGGTTATAATAATTTAGGGATTGTTAAAAGAAAAAAAGGAGAATTTGAAAAGGCAATTAAATATTATGAATAAGCTTATCAAATCAAAGAATAGATATTTGGAGAAAACAATTTAGGAGGAGCTGTTATATTATAAAATATAGCTATGGCACACAAAAAATTGAAGAATTATGATCAAGCAATAAAATATTTTAAAAGTGCTTTACAAATAAAAAAATTATTGTGTGGAGATCGTAGTCCAATTCTTTGTTCAACTTATGACAATTTGGCAAGAGTTTATTATGAAAAATAATAATTTGATATGGCAATCTCATTTTATTCAATTACTGCAGAAATCTATAGGAAACATCAATAATCTAATTAATAGAGATTATCTGATACTCTTTTTGAAATTGCTTTATGTTTTTAGAAAATAGGTAGATCAGCTGAGACTATCAAAGCAGCCCAAGAATCATATTAATTGAGAAAACAAATATATGGATAATATGCTAAATAGACTGTGAAAAGTTAAGAATTATTATCTTAAAGCTTCCTTGAAGAAGGTAAGTATGAGGAAGCATTGTAACACTACAATTAATTAAAATAATTTTATCTTGATAATTTGGTGAAATGTACTGTTGATGAGAAATTTGATAGTATGGCAGATATACTCAAAAATTTAGGAGCTTCTTACATGGGAATTTAGAAATATGATAAAGCATTGGAGCATTATAAAGAAGGAATAGAATTTCTTATGAAGAGAAATAATAATGAAAGTACAAGAATGGCAAAAATATACTATAATATGGGATTAGTTTATAGAAAAATAAAAGATTTTAAATCAGCTGAGTAATATTATTAAACTGCAGCAAGTTAAATAGCTACTAGTAAATCAGCATCAGATCTAATAACATTAGGAGATATCTATAACAATTTTGGAGTGTTGTTTGGAACATAAGATAAATTTGCTTAGGCAAAGAAATACTTTTAAATGTCATTAGAACATTATCAAAAAGTTTTAGGGCCAAATCACAGTATATGCAAAGAAGTATAAATAAATATCAAAGAATTAGAAAAATGGTTAACAAAATGAATGCTTTTTATTTAAAAATCATAGTTGTCTATAAATATAGAATTAATATTATGATCAATAAATTTTAAATTATTTTATTGTATTAAATAAAATCCTTAATGCAAATAAATTATATAAATGTAACGTAGTATACTCTTTAAGTTAATGTTGTATCTGAGAATTCAGAAAATATAATCTTGTCTTTATGTTTAAGCACTCATTTAAGCCAATCTTGAAATTTTTAAAGTGATTTTGTTGATAGAGCACTTTTTTAAATCAAGACTGATCTTAAAAGTATCCTTCAATGGATAACATTATTAATTTGTATTAGAATATGTATTTTTTAGCCGTTTCTAATTGATACTATCTTAAGGATTCATATTTATTGGTCATCATAAATTATATTTTTATGAGAAAGAAGTAACAATTGAAAAAAGTTGAAAAAGAGAATGATTCTTCTCAACCTACGACTGCAATTGCATCATAAAAGAGTAACTATATTAGATAATATTTTGAAAGAATTTGCCAATAAGGATTTGGAGAATGATCTTCTTGAGTACAAAGCTAAAATGATCAACCATATTGAGAATAGAATATTACAGTCTTAAAAGAAATTAGAGGACTCTATAAGGGAAGAGATGGAACAATTTGAATAAGAGATTTCAAAAACTATTCATTAATTAAGAGATGATCAATTTGACCACAAAGTAAGTTCAATAAACCATTAGGAAAAATAAATGGAGAAAGTATTCAGGTAAGAATCAAATCATAAATCTATAGATATAAACCATCTCTATTGTCTGAAATGATGAAATAGTCTGATTATAAAACTCTTTATCATATGATGATGGCTAGTATGTTTATTTTGATGGGGAACTTATGGATATAGGACTATTTGGAAAGAGGTATAATATTCGATATGGAAACTTTCTTCTGGTGCTTCTAGACTCCATTGTTAGTAGCAGAAATTTGGTTTGCTTTAGTATTATCCAGTTATTTGACAGTTTATTGGGTGTCCTATTGCTACTAAAACAAGATAAGGCCATTCACAGCTATTCTTGTTTTCAGTCTCCATTAGATAATAAGTATTTTGGCAGCTTGTTATATGACAAGTGCTTGGGTGGTAATGAAATTAAAATTATATAGAATGGATTTGGTTCAAGAATGATTGTAATGTGTGAAGCAGTAAGAATGATGATGAAAAACTATTCTTATGCTCGTAATAAGATGCTTTATGGTACAGAAAATGAATAAAAATATTTTATTCTTTAATCTTTTGAAAAAAAGGGAATCACAAAATAAAATGTTTTACTTCCTGAAATCAATATTCAATCACTTTCTTAAGAACTCAAAAGGTATACATATTTCTTCTTGGCTCCTACTTTATTATACAGAGATTATTATGTTAAGGCTCCCCATTACTCAAAGAAAAAAGTTATAATAGAATTCGCCAATTTCTTTATGTGTATTTACTATGGTTTCATTCTATTCAGATCTTTCTGTAAAGAACCTATACTTTAATTGAGGTATTATCTATACTTAAAAAATAAGAGAGAATTTGACATTGATGAATTTCATTGTAACTTTATATAAGTTGATGATGCCATCTACTTTTTCACTTGTTTTGGTCTTCTTTGGTTTACTTCACAGTTGGTTTAATGGATGGGCAGAACTATTGAGATTTCCAGACAGAACATTTTATCATGATTGGTGGACAGCTTCAGAGTTTGGATAGTATTATAGAAAATGGAATGTTATTGTTCATGAATTTCTCTATTATTATGTTTATTTGGATAGTGAGAAGTTGAGTTAAGGAAAAAGAAGTAGACTATTTAGATAATTGATCACTTTTGGATGTTCAGCAGTCATACATGAGATTATTCTTACATTTGCTTTGGGTTTTTTCTATCCCATATGTTTTCTTTTATTTACTGGTCCAGGAATTCTATTCATATAGGCTAAAGAGATCTTTAAATAGGTATTCATATTTAATATAGTAGGGATGGTTTAACATTCTATTTTGGGTATTGATGTATATAGGAACCTCTGTAATGATAACGTTATATTTAACTGAGTATTATGCTAGAATTCTCATTGATGATCATTTAATTGAGTAGAGATGGGGAATTATTCAATATCTGATTCCAAGAACATTTTATTTAATTACAGGAATTTGATAGGTTTAATAGCAATTAGTAAAATTAATTATAAATTAAATGTAAAAACTCTTTCAACACTATGACCAATTCAAAAGAAAGACATATTAAGTGCTATATTCATCTTTAATTTCAGCTGCATTTCAGGAATGGCGAGGTCATCAAACTTGACGGATACTCTACTTATTCGAATCGCATAAATAGAACCTCCTCCATTTTGTCAATTTTTTTATTCGCTCCTTTTAGAATTGTTAGGAATAACATCATTTATTGCACTCTATCTGTAATTTCTTTGATTTTACTTGCTTCTATTTGGTCTATGTAATTTTCAAACTATAGTAGAGATTCAGCACAATATGAATTTTATTTCATCCTTTCTTTTTAATTTTTTGCACATATAAGTGTTGAATTGTATAATAAATACAGAATTAATGGTCTAGATATTAAATTAAACAATCAAGAAAATAAAATATTAAAATAGTGGGATGAATGTATAAGCAATAAAGAGATATTAAAGCGAATCAAATAAAAAGCATCTTAAAAACCTAAGAATGAAGAAATTAAAGAAAAGGATCGTATTATACCAATAAAAAATGATCAAACTATAAAGAATGATTAATTATAACGTTAGTTGAGTTAAAAAAGCAGATCTTCTGGAAGTATTAATTTCAACTTTTTTTTTAAATAGTTTAATCTTAATTTTCTAGATAATCAATTAATTAAGCTCTTCATGCAGGATCCCCAAAATAAGATAGATTTGATAGAATGGGATCAAGAGTATCAATGATGAGTCCACTTATTCATGAAGACATGGTTATTAAAAATGAATTAAAAATAAAATTGGTATAGGATCCAGCAATTAGAAAATTCATGCAAAAAGTACCTTGCATATTTGAGAAACATACATCTAGATCAAAAAAGATTATTGATTTTAAAACTATTAATACATCTGATAAAATGGATCTCATTAAATCTATTACTGCAGCTGAAATTAAAATAGGAGATGTTGTTATTGTAGAAAGAAATCAAATAGCTTCTTGTGATATACTAGTCTTGTATTGTAATGATGAAAATTTTGCTATTTCATATCAATTATGCGAATATTCAAACACAACCATTAGGAAACCTTTAGTTTAAAATAAATGTAAAAAATAAATATTATTTATTTCCTAGTTGATTCCCATAATCTTGTCTTATTCAAAAAGTCTTTTACTGGTAATATTTAATTAAATGAAAATGCAAACAATATTTCAGGATATTTCTAGTTAAAAAAAGATCCATAATCCAAAATTATAGAAGATCAAAATTTTATATTTGCTCAAGAAAAATTATTAAACACTCCTTGGGTAATTGGAATAGTGATTTAAGTTGGTTTAAATTGTCGTTGTTATAAATAATTTAAAATTAGACCATAAGTTCCTAATTATTCATCAAGATTACTCATATCAATGATTTTTCTTTATTTTGCTTTTTTAATTGTAAATTATTAATATTCTATTAGAGTTAATGTACATTATCACATATTAGAATAGCTATGTCAATGAATATTTAGATATAATATCTTTATTAATTTAAGATTTACTTTACTTACTATTTTTATTACCTCATAGTTTCAGATTCTATTATGATCTAATTTAATTATTCTAATAAAGCATTATTTATAAGATAAGTTAATTGGATCTTAAATAAATCAAAGCATTTCATCCAGAATACTATCAATAATATAAACGTTTGACAATGAATTTAGATTCATTATTAGAGGGAACATTTGAATTAAGGGCTATTATATGCAATAATCGAATTTGCCATTGTAGAGAACAAGATTTAATGCTTTAAGCTCAAGTATATGCAACTTCAATCTCAAGCTAAAATATTTTTAAGACTGCTGATTCTAAAGATGATTCTAAAATTGTTGAGATTTAAGCATCTTACAATAATTAAATATAAAATCCTAAATAATAAAATAATACATAAAATTCTGGAAGATATTTAGAAGATGAAATCTTTAGTTATGAAGCTCAAGAAGAAATGGTTCTTAATATGCCTTAATCTGTTGGTTTTAGATTAATTAGTAATTTTACAAATAATGATAATACTCAATAAGAATTTAATGGACTTATATAGCATTAAAGTATTAATCCAGATAAAAGTGAATATTTACAGAAATCAACAAATAATAAAGTTCATCTTTCAATGTAAAGCAAAAGTGCTAAATAGGCAACATTAAAGGATAGCAGATATGATAAAAAATCCATTTTATTAAGTGATTTAATCAAACTAATTACTAGCGAAGATGAAATATATAATGTTATTTTGCTTTAATTAGCATTGAATCATATCTCATATTCCAAACTTAGGTATACTTAAACAGGAGAAGAAAAAGTTAAAAATACCTAGGTTAATTTGTTAGATGAAAAACAAATATATATAGCAAAAGCATTTGGATTCGAATTCATTTGTGTTAATAATGTTTAGTAAATATATATAAATATAATTAATTTAGAAATATTTCAACATATGTTGTTTAAATCAATTAAAAACTTTACTCATTTAAGTTAATCGATTTTCAAATTCATCATCATACTCAAAGGCTCTATATGTTATTTGAATTAGATCCTGATTTTGAAAAACCATTAAATGCTGAATATATTTTATTAGTAAGAGAATCTAATTATAAAAAATCTGATATTTTAGATGAAAATAAATTAATTCAAAGGTCATCTATTCATTTTTTACATCAAACAGATTTAGAATAACTTCATTAAATTCATTATTACTCATGTCTTCTTAATCAAGAAGATGCTGCATATTATGTTAATTAATAATAACTACAATACTAAAACACTATAGAAAGCGAAGAATTTATTTATAATTATTTAGAACCTTTTTTGTAATTTAATATTACATTAGGCTTTAAATATAACTTAAAACCAAAAGCGTAAGAATTTATAAGAAATTTTGAAAAATCAGAATAATCATTATTATTTTACACTGAATAACGCTTTTCTTATGCTTACTCTATAATTCATTAGACAGATATATCGAATCATTTGAAATTAACTTTTGATTAAGATAACGATGATGATTTAAGAGCTTACCTCAAGAAATCTTTATAGTAATTCACATAATTATTCTCTGATTCAAATTGTGTATCAAATTCCTAAGTTCAATCTTTTAATAAACTAATCAACCCAATATCCTCTTAACTTTCAAACAAAAAAGTATAAGAGGATTTAAATGCAACACCTCCAATTACAATAATTTTGAATAGTTAAGCTTGCAAAATTATGTAAAATAATATCTATTTGACTAATCATATGAAATTGTTATTTTCTTTAGCAAAAGTAACACTCTTATATGATGCAAATACTTAATCTTTGAATTTCGTATAAAACTTGTTTGATGAACCAAATCTAACATTAAATTTAATATTTGAAAATTAAACTTTATTAAAATGTCATTAAGGATAGCATTTATAAATTGCATTATTATAAGAATTTAGTTACTTTTAAAAAGTAAAGTATGAAAATATCAATAAACAAACTTTCTTCAAAAATATGATTTAATCCCTTAAAGTTAGATTAGTTTATGAAAGATGTAATAAATTTAAATATGAATTAGGTCTCTTTAATGAATTATTAATCTATCATAATACTGATGCAATACTACAAGGATTTAATGAACTAAATGAACTCCTATTTTATTATGTTCCATTATTAAACATCTTGACTAAATATTAGTTTTTGATTGCTTTTCAGAGAACTATATATTTTTCATCTTTTACTATTACAATTTACACAACCAGCATTTGGTTTTTTAATAATTAAAAGAATTTAATAGTGGAATTTTTATTTTATTCTTATATTTATTCCTTAATTATGTATATTGCTATTACAATATAATTTATTAAATAACAAGATATAAATACTAAAAGAGATTAATATTAATAGAAAATCATAGAATCAATAATTAGTTAATCAAAAAATAAATCCTATTATATTTAAATTGCTATAAAATGTAAATTATTAATTGTAATTTTAGCAATTATACAAGGAATATTGACTTAACTGGTATTTACATATTAAAGTTAAATTTAATCAGTTGAAGTAGTTATTGTTTATTGTTTTCTTTCAATAACACTGAATGATTTAATAAGTTTACTACTTTAGTTAGGTTATTAATTAAAGATTGTAGTTTTCATAATTTACAGTCTATCATATTTATTTTATTTATTACTTCATTTTAATATTATGGCTCCAAATTTAGAGTTTAAATTTGAAATTTCAAACTTTTTTGAAATATTATTAGTAATATTGATTTTTTAAGTAAGTGAATAATTTTTTTAACATCATTTTGTTTTATAAGTACCTTAAATGAAAGGATTATTTCAATAAATAGCTAATTCAATAAATCGTCAAAAAGAATCTATTAACTATAAATAAACATAAATTTTAAATTTGTAAAGGGAAATAAATAAATTTTTTGAGAATATTGAATAGGTGGATTTTAATCTATAAAAGCGTAATTTATTATGATATCATTAAGTTTTACTAAGCTAAAAATAATTGTTTTAGAACTTAGGCTAATGGTAATCCTAAATATTCCAAAAAGCATAATCAATAATGAAATGGAAAAAGAAATCAAGAATTCAAGGATTATAGTTAATTTTCTTTCATTGTCAAATGCTCATAATTATTTATTCTTAATCTGATACTAGTTACTATTTTCTCATCACTTACATAGTTTACTAAATATTTTTAATAGTGATATTTGTTTTTCAATTACTTTATCATTTGAATTCAAGATAGATGCAATATTTAGAATTGGTTAAATACATGATGTCAGGAATAGTCACATTAATAGCAGTATTAGGATTATCTGTAACTGAAATGTCATCTTATTATCATTCATTTTCTGAAATCATTGTGACTTTTTAAATATCGAGTAAACTTCATCCAATTTATGATAATCGATTGTATCTAATACCTATAGTTATTGTGTTAATTGCATACTTTATTATG